TGAAAGTTCCTGTCCACGCGAACCGGCTTAAACGGTTTGTCAACCCGAAAGATTAACCAACTAACCCAATCCCAGTTGTTGCTACGGACAACCAAACGATTCCGTCTCAATCTGACAACAATCATACGGAGATGACCACCCCGACCCCTCAGACACTAACCCCCAAGCAGGCACAGAATCCCGATTTTGATTTACAGGAGGGTGACGTTTTCATAGTAAAACGAATCTTAGCGCATAAAATAGTGAATGGAGAAAAGTACTACAAGATTCACTGGGAAAATTTCACTTTACAGGAAGCTACATGGGAACCCGAATCTAATATCCCTCAAGGATTGATTCGTGATTACATGATCCAGAAGTCATTAAAAAAGAAGCGAAAACGTTAGAATATATCTGACTATATTTGTCGAATAATGTTTCAGATTAATTGTTATATTTCGTTTCCTTTTTAGTTCAGACACTGCAGACTTCGTGTTGGAGACGGTACCCTCTAATATTGATTTTTGCATATGTTTTCAGGTTTAGAATTACATGATGCTATATGCATGGAGCACGGCTCATATCGATACATGCTATAGATCATTTACTACGGTGTTAAGATGATTCAATTGTCACAAGGTTATAGGAAAATACAAACGTGCATATATGTTGAAAATGTGTATTGTAATTGTCAAATATTGTGTTTTGAATACTCCGAATACTTGGATTATTTACAGAGATGTGTTGGTTGATATTGAAGAATAAAAATCATGTTCATGGGTTATGGCCGGACATGTATTTCGCGGGCCACGTGAATACAAATGAGTTACAATATAAAGAAATGACGACTACGGGTCGCATGGTTATATACTCCTTCTACGAGATGATTCTGGCTGCACATGTATTTCGAAGGCCACTATAAAGCAAGTTCGCTTTGTGTGTATATACGAGAATACAAATGAGTTACAATAAACGTGACATGACGACTACGGGTCGCATGGTTATACAATACGGTTACAAATACAGTGAAGTGATATACGATGATGAGATTTGAGATACAGTCATGTGAACTGAATACAGTCATGTGACCTGAAAGACAAAAACGAGACAATAAATAATGTTGTGATGATAAATGTTGATACTGTAAAGGAAGTTCACAATTGTTGGATGTTGCTTACTCGCACGGTTCCCAGTGTGAGATTATATATTACCTACTTGTGACAATTGTTATCATACTTCTAAGATACAGTCAGCGAGGTGAAGATTCGAGACGAATACAGTCAAACAGTTACTAGGTTTCACAAGACATTGAAACCTTTTCTTACAAAACATGAGTGATCTATGATATTTAGTTTGAAGTTAATAATTATGTTTATACACTTATTTCTTTGAATTTTAGAATCCAGAGGCCTCCTCCGACCAGTATGGGTCTTATTCATTGTCATCGCGTTGGTTAGCATCCAGAATCGGGTTAATTCCGTGCATACGGAACTCCGACTTCCATGGGGAGTTGTCTTCGTACATATGTCACGAATCGACATTTCCCAGAATAAATGGATTCATATCTTTCAATATAAATTGCCTGATTTAGATGGAATGGGCAATAGATCAAGATATCGAGACTTTTGTTCCACATATACTTTGGCCTGTTATACCGTTTCGGCGATGGATGGATATATAGAAAAGGCCGAACGAGAGTTGTTCGCGTATTGGACAAATGTCCATAAAGACATTAACCTGTTAATTCCCCATATTAACATTTTTCACAAGGATTCCCGCACTAAACGAGCGATACTTCCTTTTATTGGATCAATAAGTCGTTCGCTGTTTGGTACTGCTACAGTCGAGGATGTTGAACGACTGGCGCGGTATGTTAAACAATTGCCGTTGCATGCTGCTAATACTTCTCGTGCTTTTCAAGTCCAAGTTCGTCAGATGTCGTCATTTATAACTAAAACAAATGAACGCATCTCATCCGCTCTCGCGGGTATTGAAACAAACCATAAAGATATTATACTTGTCACTAAACAAATACAAGATGTGGAGAGATTTATTTTTATCACAATGAAAATCTTGTTAGATCGCCTCACGTTCCTAACAACTATTAGACAAGAAATTGATGAAATGTATTTAGGCATTCAACAGTTAGTTAATCAACGATTGAGTCCATCTTTAATCCCAGTTTCGGAAGTAAAGAGAGCGTTAAAAATGATTCAAAAACGTCTCAATGCAGAATACCCGTTGTTTCACGTTGCACATAAGGATCCAGGTTATTATTATCGGGAACGCACTGTTCACTGTTCCCGGAATTCAAATTCAATTTTAATTTCGCTTATTGTTCCTATCCAGACTCATTCTACTCTCCTTGATGTATATCGAATAAATTCTTTTGGCTTACCATTTAATCAATCAAGTACACATGTCACTCAGGTTATGAATTTACCAGATTATCTGGCTGTTTCGGAAGCTAAAGATCAGTATATTGAATTTTCGGCTAGGGATTTTCAAACATGTTATGGTGAACACGAAAAACACTGTCCAATTTTTCACAGTCCGAAACCAAAAACATCGCTCACATGCGCACTTGCTTTGTTTACTAAAGACACACAAGAAATTAAATCCTTGTGTGATACAAAATTCCGATTAAATGGGCTACGTTCAATGGCTCTCGAAATTGAACCAGGCACAATTCTTTTAACTGGCATAAAAACCATAATACTAACGTGCAAGGGTCGCATTGAGAAGCGTCCAGCTTGTCAGATTTGTATATTTAAAATTCCTTGTTACTGTGCGTTGAAACTGGATGAATTCGACATAGACATGAGAATTCATAAATGTGAGAAAAAGTCAACTGCTTCAAAATTATACCCACCTAATCTTTTACTTTTATCGGATTTTTTTAATGCATCCATCTTAAAAAAACATTGATAGTTTACAGCCCCTTCTGAAAGAGTGAGTGAGAGTGAGTTGGGTTTAACGCCGCTTTTACCTTCTGAAAGATTCCGCTTTTGAGATCCCACATTTATTAATTGATGATAAAGTTTTCGATGAAATTCGTAGAAAGGACACAGAATTTCAAGTTGATTTACGCCTTATTTCTCAACGTATGAAAAAGGCACAGGTCATTTCGGATAATTTAATTGATGGTAATTGGATGGATTCCCTCCCACCTTAAGCTTTAGATGGGGATTTAACCAACCCATATCACTTAACGGCAAGCATACCCGCGGGTCATCCCTATTTCTCTTAATAATCGTTCTTTTCTTATGGATTAAAGTTCGACGCTTATTTTTTGCATTGACCTTACTTACAGCAGGCTCCCCAACTGACGGTTTGCCAATTTGGAAAACACATCCAACTTCACCCTATCCAAATTATCCCCCTCCTTCATTTATGTCGTTGATTAAATCCACTATTTCCATGGATGTTTTTTCTGATCATATCGACAGTATTTCTGGTATTCATTTTGCTTTTTCGAAGAATAAAAAAGTCAATCGACCGGTTACGTCACTGGTTTTATATTTGACAAATTCCTTTGCTTGTCATGAAATTATGGTCTCACAATTCTATCTTTGTCCCCGAGACCTCACGTTAACGGCTGGAAATCCTTTAACTAATTTTCGTATTCAGCGGGTATTCCTCACTTATTATTTACTGTTTGATTGTCACAATTTGCAAATTCAACCCCCGACACAATCTATATATATTTCGGGAAAAATTTATGTAAGTTGGCTAATGGCGTTTCGTTTAAAACGATTCCTTCCTTCCACGACAGGTGTTTTTATGGTACTTCAACATTGCGGAGTCGCTTTTCCGTTACCTCTGACATGATTAACATCGAGATCAGCTCCTCTGAGGTTTCTTAAAAGCCCTGTTGACCTCTCCACTTTGGCCAGCTGCCTTGAAATAATGATAATGGTTTTCGTTGCCCAAATAGGATATTATGGCACGTATTACTTCATAATTTATTGTCTTTGTTATATCCCAGCCTTTTAACGACAGGCCACTTGTCACCTTCAGCATCATAGTCGGTGGGGTATACTAGTATTTAAGGCCCCTACAACCCTACAATCGACCCCACTCTCGTCGCTTCTTTCATTGGTATCGGTGAGACGTTGTTTTTTCACTTTTGTCTATCACATTGTACAGGGTGTCTTTGTGCTATGTGTCTTTGTGCTATTTGGCTCTTTACCTTGTAAAGGATTTTATTGTTGAGATACAGTTAAGCTCCGTCGTTGAGATTTTTTACTATTTCTTCTCTTGCTCCTTTTCTCCGTGTTAAACTTTTTGATCATGGATGCCCTCTATAACACTACCTATTTCCAATGGTTAGCTTATGATAAGGTCTTGGTAGTTGACCAGCCACTAGCGGACACCATACGAGGCCATTCGGCTCGTCTAGCTGAAGGTCCGCGCTCCTACACGACTATCAGCTGTCCGATATTTTTCCGCGCGCTTCCATTTTGGAGGGTAGTTTTGTACTTGGCAGGTTTATTACCCTGCCTAATTGAACTTCGACAAATGGACGATGCGACGTTGGAACAGGTGACAATATTGGCGGAGTATTTCCGTTCACAATACCTGTTCCTTACCTGTGCGCAGACTGCATTATCCCGAACGGCCCCTTTAGCATCATGGAATTATGGATAACGCGGGCCAACCTTAGCTTGCCAATACAACTCACAGCGTCTGTCAAATTTTTTGACTTTCTGGAGATGGAGTATGGGCTGCCGTCGTGTCGAATTGTGCACCATACGCCTATTTCATCCACTTTTAATGCCCCATTAGTGGCCCATGTGGTATCTCAGACACGGAGCAGATACCAAAGGTGGTTACGACAGCCGCTGTGTGTCTACTGCAAGACTCCAGTTGTTTTTGAACTCGGGTTGGCTGTACGGATCGTCCCGTTGCCATGTTGCTTTGCAACAATCCATGGATCGTGCTCTCTCCGTTTTAGGTCGTTACCTAGATTCCCGCTAAACGTCCCCGAGGTCTTTTGTCCGGCGTGCGGTGCCCCTTACCTGAGAGGGCGACTTGCCCTTCAGGAGACCGAAACGGCGTCGCTTCCTCTGTTGGAAGACTGTCTTCGACGCCATCAAATTTCCCGGCGGTCTTCTAGTGCTCCGTTACATAACGTACAGCGTTTCCCAGACGAGAGGCGTTCATTAGACTTGCTTTTGTATGCATTTCTAGATTATTATTTTTTCATAAAATAAATATATTCCACGGTCATGGTGCAGGACTAGGCGTTCCTCTCCTCCACTAGTTTCCGCACGGCCCCTATCACCATGCCGCATCGACTCGCCCAGCAGTGGGTCATCCTCTTTTGATCCCGACATGCCTCGGTTAGAAATAGCGTGGTCGGATGTCGAGTAAGGTTAATTTAACCGCTACTTCGACTTCACTTCTTGTCCACTATCATTTCTCTTCTTCTGTCCGCCTCACCTTCATCTATTTTTAACTCCCTGTAATAAGTGTCCGACGAGAGTGTTTATAAGATCATATGGCGACATTGATTTATTGTTTCCAAGTAAGATTGTTAGTAATTAATGAAACTCAGTTAAGGTTGGTAACGGATAAGCATCCTAACGACATATAGTCTCAGATTATCTTGCTAGTGCAAGCATATCTTTATACGCATACGTTTTCATAGTTATCTAATCATTGCTTCATGTAAACGTAATTCTAGGTCTTTGAGCGTCCATTCTCTGTGTATCAATGTGTACTCTCAGTCCCACCCTTGATAATTTTATATGTTGTTCCTTTTGATATTGATAACTACAAAGCATTGGGTGAATGTTGTTGATTAGAATTTTATGATAGTTTATCCGACTGTAATGTTCAAGCAGTCCATGGGTTTTGCGATTTGATCGTGCTTATTAATGTCTTTTTATGATAATATGTGGCTACGCAATTGGACCTGTAACAATTAATCCAAAAATTCGATTCCTGCCGTTATCATCCTTATATGCAGATATGCATTTGCCAGAAGACTATTATTGTGTATATAGTCTTATTTTTACAGGCAGCAGTCTGAGCTGCAGGTGTCACATCTTTCTATGTATTGATATTTCTATAATTGGTATGGTATTAGTCACTTGTTGTTCGTGAATTACCAGTATTTTTAAGTGTTGTAGATGATGGCCGTACCCCATTCTATAGGGCGGAGAGTCAACACTTCCCCCGCTGTCGTCTGGTCCACGCCAAATAATTATTCTGGCTCCTGGCTACACGCTTGGTGTCGAGGATGCACGCTGTCCTATCACCTCTGCCGCTAAACACAAAACGCAGGCAACAGAGCGTTATCTATATCTGTCAGCACCCCGACGTCTACATCTACAGGTGCTAACGACGACCGCAGACACACTGTAACTCTATCGGCATACAACAGCTTTAGAGAGCGACCAGTCAACACTCAAGCAGTGTCAAGAAAAGTCGACCTCTCGCTTTGTCACCCCAGCCGAGGACCTGACTGTGTGCATAGACCGCGTGTTTTCAAGGATTCAAGAACGTTGGACAGCGTTCCGCCAGTTGACTTTACGAAACAAGAAAGGAGCCAGTGAATTCGATTGGGACCAGCGACAAATGAACTTTCGTGAATGGTGGTGCCTTATTGTGGCCATGTGCAGTGACATTTGACTTTTACGCATCGCTATTAATTAATTCTACATGGTATTTGAATAATATTTCATGGTGTTTATGCTTTGTGGTTATACGAAATAACACAGGATCATTAACTTATTCTTTACCAGGTAAATACATTTTAACTGTAAAAGTATTCGTTCTTTTCGAAATCGTTATAACATTTGAAAATTGATTACAATTTAATCTATGGAATGATCGATCCTGTTTTACTTCCATTATGTTTATTGTGATTGTCTTTTATATCTCAGACCGGAACTCATGCTTAGATCTTCCGAGCTGTGGGCAGCTCTTGTCCACAGGCGGAGGATGTTATAAGGTTAAAAATGCATCTCAGAAACTAATGATAACAAATAGAACCATTATAGCTGCAATGAGGAGTTGCATTAGATATAGTTTGTGACAGAACTTTTAGTGGGAAAGGAATCAATAGAGAAAAGACATTTCACATTTATCACAAGTGTATTCTGGACATTTCACATTTATCATTGGATTGGTCTCTGGCTATCGTCCATGAGTTAATGAAACAAATGGGGAATTTCAAGGCATAATTCATTTGGAGCTTCGGAGCGAGTCACAAAATCAATAGATGGATGAGCAATCTGGCACGTAGGCTTTTGTATTTTTCCGATTACGACACACATGAGTTCATGGTCAGATCTAAACTTGTAACGAATCAAATGGAGGTATTGAGACATGTGACAAGGACAGGCCAGGCTCGAACACTATAAAAGGATACCCTCAACATTAGGAGAGGAGAGCGCGGTTTGCAATCGATCGAGTCGAATCCCGATCGTTCTAAGTTTCCACCAGCTAGTGACGAGCCTGGCCAGTCTGATCCTGTCCTGTATTGATAGATGGGCTGAGAGTAAGTAAAACTATGTGAGTATAAACTGGTGTTGCGTTTCTTTATTATGCGGGTGTGAATGCTGATAGAGACAACTTGGAGTAAGGGTCATTAGACCAATCACTCCTTGACGGAGCCGAGCCGTGGTGGACAAGGCGAGGGCAATGGCCTGGCTTAATTGACCACAAGGACCAGGAACGGCAATACATTTAGTAACTGTAGCAGGGTCGCACTGGACGCCCAAAGGCAGTTACGACACTGGTAATGTGTGCAATATAGTATTACGTGTTCAGGCGTTTCTTTTAGGTTGCAGTGGGGGTTACCGGTTTGGTGTTTTTTAATTTTGTGTAGATGGGGGTTTAACTTAGTGTGGTCCGTTTGTAGTTTAGTTATTACTCTGTCAATTGTTTTGGTTTAATGATGGATTATTTTTTTGAGTGGCTTTTGTAGCAGGTGTTTTAGATTGCAATCAGATTTTTGATAGTTCTTTTGCCACTTTTGGAAAATTTTCTCCTTTAGGATACTTTCAATTTCGTTTTTTGATATTGGTAGGTTGATGCTTACTTCTAATTTTAGTGCTGATTTGGCTGCTTTGGCTGCGTGTTCATTGCCAAACACTCCAACATGGGCAGGGGTCCAAACTATTTCTGTCTTTACCTAGTTTACGTAGATTGTTGGCGCTTTTAATTATCTGTTGTATTAGTTTTGGGCGCTTTTTGTGTTTTTGTTTTTTATGGCCTGGAACCCACTTAATGAGTCTGAAAGGATTAGGGTTTTTTGGTGTCTATTTATTTGATCGCTGTGCAGGGCTGTTACTATCCCCATTAATTCGGCTGTGAAAATTGATTGATTATTTCGGAGCCTGTAGGATTGTGTTTCTTTTTGGTGTTTGTTGATATGGATGCCGAATCCTGCGCGTTTTGAGCCCGGGTCAAAGGACCCGTCTGTGTAAATGTGACACCAGTTTGGCCATTTTTCGTGAATGTATGCTAGTGTGGTGGATTTAGCGGTATTTGGATCAGTTTCTTTATTTAGTCTGGTGGAGAGAGATATGTCGATTTTGGGGGTTTGGAGTTTGGGTGTGAAGGTGTCATTTGGTGCTGTGTTTAATTGTAAACTATTTAGGTTGTGTGTATATAGGTAATTTATTATGCGTTGAGAGATTTGTATAAATTATGGGGTTTTGCGAGCTAGAGCTTCGAGCCTGGGGCTTATGTTAGTTCTGTTGGATTTGTTGGTTTTGTTGGGACCAGTAATTTATTGTTGCGGATATGTAGATAATGCCTCAAAGCAGAGACCATATCTATTATATGGTCTCTGCTCAAAGTTTATATTCACGCTGTCCTTAAGGACCAGCTATAGTCTCCTAATTGCCACACTCATGTATAGTTGCGTTAGCGAACAAATCGACTCACGGTAGCTAGTGAGGCCTGGGAAGAAGCCAGAGATTAGTGCCACTTTAATAGCCTGTGGCAGTGGTGTCATCACTGCACCGAAGTGTGGCCCAAGCCGTTATGTTTACGTTTGAAAGCACGCGGTCAAAACAAAACGCTGGCGTGTATTCTCCTCATCCAATCAAAATAGAGCTTTCTTAGCAGCTTCGGCACGTCTATAAACAACTTCCTGTCTGTAGCTTCAGCTGTTCACGGATTGACAGGACCATCACTTCGTGTGTCACGTTTGCTGGTAGTGTGCGGGAGTTTTGCATGTTATTTCTCAAATTAAGTTCCACTCGCCAAACATTATGCCATATCTGGGTGGAAGGAGACCGAAGAAGCGAAAGTTCAGCTCAAATTTGTGTGACGAGGGGCTAGAGAACGAGAGCGCCGACCCGGCAGATGATAAGGTCAGCGAAAACATGTCTGCGAATGTCACACGCGATTATGCCAATGAGAAAGAGGTCCAACCTGGTGTAAACTGCCTGACAGATTCACGTGATAACAATATACCGACAGATTGTGACAACAGTGCACCGACCATTGCGGGTTCCCAGTCTACTGGCGACGGTCTGCACAAGAAAAATGGGCAGAAAAGTGTAAATAGCCGGGACGAAATCAGCGGATTTCGTTACGTGGATGTCAATTTGCTGGTGTCGTTTATAGCCAAGTTTCCATGCCCCTCGTGCGGTAAAGCACACCTTGGATATTCTGACCCCAGACAGATCGGTGTCAAGGAGGAGACTGTTGGACAGGCGACAACACTGCAGTTCACATGTGGAACTTGTGAGTCCAATATGTTATTCACTAACTCAGCCAAAGCAGGGCCTAATTTTGAGGTGAACTCGCGGTTTCCAGCTGCTATGTTTTCTATTGGGAATGATTACGATAAAGCCAAACAATTATGTGCCAAGATGAAGATGCCCAAGCCGCTTCAGTTTAAATCATGGATGAACAAGCCTCACTCTCCATGTCCTGGCTCAATGTCTGATGTCACACAACAAAGTGTTACTAAACATTAAACAGTATCCACACACTCTATAAATAACGTATTTGAAGTACAGTAAACTACGTTTATAACGAACTGACGGATATTACAAACTAAAGTTTTAGTCCGGCCATTTGCTGTATAGATGTTGTATATATGTGTATAAATCTAACAAACTATGAT